GGTATTAAAATTAGACTTTGCCATAGTGCAGGTATTAAAATTAGACTTTGCCATAGTGCAGGTATTGAAATTGAAACCAGCCATTGTGCAGGTACATATAAACTAGAAATACATGCAGGCAGCAACCCCTCGCTATTTCAAACCAAGTACACAATTTCCTGAGTTAACCTGACCTAAACGTATATTATGAAATAACACAAAACTCAAATCAGTCTTAAAGTTTCCATCATTCAATACAAAAATAATCATAAAGGTAGTGTAAACATTGCCCGTTCAATTTTGCTGCATTATACCATGCCAGCAATTAAATAACGGTTTAAAATCAAAGTTTCAAACGATTAAAACAGTACAAAATCTTCACAGACAAAGAAAAAACTTCAAATGCTATTTTATTCTGTAATTGCAGTCGACGCCGGCGGCTAAAAGTCTCAGTATACTTCATAAATATAGTGTGGATTTTTGATACCAAAATTCAAATTACACTTTCAAAAACACTTTTTGAACTTAAAGCAAAGGGGTAATAGTCCTTTACTGGTTTATGCGTTTGCAAAAAAAACTGAAAATTTAACAAATAAACGGCATACAAAGCTGAAAAGCATAAAAATACGGCTCATTCTTACCGCGAAACAAATACGAAATAAACACGTACGCTTTGTCTTTGAAAACATTTATAAGCTTGCAGATTATGAATTATGCCTCTTACACGGCTTTGTTTTGACTGTATCCACGTTCATCTTTGCTATCTGTCATGCTTCATATATCTTGTTTCTTCTCGTTTTACTTTCTTTGCACAAAGTTTATGAAACGCTTTTACAAAAATGTTTACGAAATGACATTATGACAGTTAAGTTGCTGACGTTCTCATTGAAATACAAACTTTCTGTCTTAGCCAATCAGAACGTTCGTTGATTACCAGTCTACACGCGTTGGCCTTCCGCGCATGCGCACAAGTGCCATGACCATTGAACGTCCATGGTCCAAATTTAGGCGACTTTGGATTCCGCTATGTTCTCCCGGGTCCTGGGTGTAATTCCTAATCTCCGGGCGGAATTAGTACCCTCGCACGGTGCTCCGCACCGGCTCGGGGATAAAACGACAGCCATTCTGCTGATCCCCGAGCCGGTGCGGAGCACCGTGCAAGGGTACTAATTCCGCCCGGAGATTAGGAATTACACCCGGGACCCGGGAGAACATAGCGGAATCCAAAGTCGCCTAGATTTGGAGCATGGACGTTCAATGGTCATAGGTCTTGTGCGCATGTGCGAAATGCGAACGAGTGTAGACTGGTAATCAGCAACTTCCTGATTGGCTAAGACGAAACATTTGTGTTTCAGTGAAAAACGTCAGCAATTTAACTGTAATTTTGCAAATTATTTTTTTAAAGATATGTTTCGAAAACAAAATATGAAATGTGGAATGAAATAACAGATAAAACACTGGGAAGAGTTTAAAATATAATCAGAACTGCAAGAATTAGCGATGAAAAGGAACAACTCGATTATAATCCTTGAAATGGTAGGAGTCTATTTTGCTTATTTTGAGGTTTATTTCGTGTTTGCTGTACGAATATATTTTATGACCTTGGTACAGTATGTCGTTTCACGGTTTTGCGAAGACGTGACCGACTATTAATTTAAGGCTTTATATCATCGTTTTAACTTCAAAAAGAGTTCTTAAAAGTGTATTTTGGAGTTTTAATATAACAAATATCACTTTAAAGGTTTATAGAGTCGACTGCAATCACTGCATGAATTTAATAATCGAAAAACAACATTCGACGTTCACTGCTTGGTTATTTATATTATTTGTGCTGTTTTGATGTTTTGAAGGTTTAGCTATAATGGAGTATTAACTCCCACTTAAACCGTAAAAGTCTATAACTTAATGCAACGGAAAGCAGCAGGAAAACGGGTGATTTCACTTCACCTTTACGACTGGGTTTGTTTCCGAAAAATTTGAAACATCAGCTATCGGCTTTATATTTAGGACATTTCATAATATTGAAGGTTAGGTCTGGCTAGCTCAGGAAATATTTTGCTTCGTTTGAAATGGCGAGGGGTTGCTGCATGCATGTATTTCTAGTATATTCAAACGAAATATTAAGTTTAAGGCTACAAATATGGGCATTATTATTGAAGTTCATCGCTCCAGGATTGGTTCACACCACAATTTTCTAGACAGTCAAAACAGTCTCTGCCGTCTGAATGGCAAGATTTGGTATCAAATACTGTAAATGTTTTATATTAATGTATTTTGCTTGCCAATTATATATCTAAAGAACCAATTGATTAAGAGTCAAAAGAACAGTGAATTGTGCTTATGGTATGTTCAAATTATATGCAATCACAATGTTTATGTGCCATTATTGCTGAGACTTTCAAATGATGTGGAGGAAAATTCAAGTCCCAGGACATGCTTTCCTAGTAACTACTACTCACCAATACACGTTTATATGAATGATGAATGGCGGCATTCAATGTTGACTGATTGTTGGACTGATTAACACAGTGATAAGATATTGTCAGTGAAACGTGCAAACAAGCCATGCTGTCTTATTGGACCTAGGAACTAGTGCTATTATCTCCATGCTGATAAGTTATCTGTGATCAACATTGCAAACCACATGTACCTTCTTTCTGGATCTATGAAATCACACTATCATCTTAGTTATAATGGTGAAAACAGATTGTTATTGTCAATAAACTTTGGCAAACAAGCCGTGTAATCTTACTGGAGCAATAACCATTCTAACATTTGTTAACTTATATAATTACTCGTTAAAGTGTTATGTTAATATACGTCATCATGACGGCCCAGGCGGAACATTCGAGAAGCTAATAGAAAGCAGTAAACCATGCAGGGCGCTTCTTTATCAAGTTATTTTTAACAATGCCGAAACACATTAACAAATTTCTTTCTTTCACAGCAATTATATAATTATGATGTTAATAACGAAATAAACAATTATTATTCTTCTCCTTTGACGTTCACAGGAAATTAAAGTAAAATCTCAGTTTCACCTCAGTGCTTGACATTGCTTCTCATGTAAGCACGTTTTTAAATTTGCACAATATAAACAACTGGGGTGTCTTTTAAATTGCTTTCTGTTATTAGGGGATACTTCATATAAATATTTTTACAAAACGTCGTTTACATCATGGTTTCAAAGAAGAAGCAACTATATCGAACTATAGGGTAATGATATAGCCGCTTTCTGGCGCACCCAGATCGGTCGCGGGTTAACAGTTCATAAAGCCGGTTTTCCACTAGCGATATTTTTCGCGCGGAGCGACTTTATTTCTTTGTATTTGAGCAATTTGTTCCAGATGGTTGCAGTTGAGAGCTCTGAAACAAAAGTAAAATATCGATTCGCTCGAAAAATATCGCTAGTGGAAAACCGGCTTAAATGAGACCTTTATGCATGGTGAATTACAGATGTATATAATTTATGCGACCAAAATACTGCGCAATCTTTGGCAGTTAGACTCGTATTTCACAAGTTAGCATGAAATGTTGTATAACAACTGCCTAAAATAGACAAAGCACTTCTCGACGTTTCGACCGAGGGCCTTCGTCACCAGAGTGAGTACGGAAATAAATAGGGGAAAATACATGATTTGTATGGGCAAAACACGTGATAAAAATGGGCGAATAAAAAACAAAAAATAAAAAAAATTGGAATACATTACGTTGCAAAAGAGACGCCTGATTGTCGGTTAAGAATAGCCTGTAATGAGGGAAGCCTGATCAGCAACGAAAATATATTACAAACAGTTTTGGTGTAAACCACTGAGCTATTACTAAAATTCCTGGAGGACTTGCTCTTTGCCAAATCGTGTCTGCAAAAGATGGCGGATTTTGAGCTTTGCTGACGCCACATGGTTCCTGTAACTCCCAAATCCCTCTAAGAGCTAAGCTGCTTTGGTGTGCCGTTAACGCCATAAATTGAACTCCACTGAATTCGCTAAACCACGATGGTAGAAGAACACGTGCGCAGATAATAGTTATTAAATGTGTCTTTAATGATGAAGATTATAGTATAATACGGTGCGGTGAAATATATGGTAACTGATCGATTAGGTGATGGAATGTTGGATAGAGAAATATAGTGGGTAACGTTCGGGGTAGTATCGCAGCTCCTCGCAAGAATGATTTTCATTGGCTGGACTTTAAAATACATTTGGCTTGCCAGGCATTTTGGCTTGCCAGGCATTTTGGCTTGCCAGGCATGAGGCATCATATTTTAAATCGTTTTATTTTATGCCCAGTTCACTAAAAACTTTTTTTTATGAATGAGAACTCTACATATTGTGAAAAGTTGAATTTATCTTTATGTGTGTTTGTGGAAAGAAATATAAAAAAAGACCATATGGAAAGAGAAAATGCCACGATGAATCTGAATTTCGTTCAACTGTATCAAATTGTTCCAATACATTTTATTCCATTTAACCAAACTGTGACACAGGAAATACTATAATAACACGACATGTATAAGCGACGTTTTCAAATGTAAAATTGCAGTATATGGAGAAAATTTGATAGGCCCTATTGGGATACTAGGCCAATATTTGCTAAGACAGAAAAAATGCTATACAAGACAAGAGGTTTTAGCACCGTAGACCGGGATATTACATAAAACCTGGATATTTTTGGTATTTGTATCTGTTACGATATTGAAATACATAAGACTATGGAAAAGTGTCTGTCGGTATTGTTTAAATTGTTGTGATGCTGAATATAAAGGAAAAATACAGGCTATTTCTAATTGAGGCAAAGGCCCTCTATTTCCCTATACGGACCGACATAACTGGTAAATGATAGATTTATTTTTTTTAATTACCCGCCCCCCGTGCGTGCGTGTTTTTAAATCTCGCGCGGTCCGTACAGCCTCATACGGACCGCTCGCGTAGCCAATCAGATTGCAGGAAACGCTAAAACATGAATTCGGACCGCAAGAAGAAAAAAAGTACATTTATTTGAATAGAAGACAACAGTTGACATTTGCGTATTAATTAATTAACTATAGCTATGAGTTGTTGGAGAATAAAAAACGATGTTTTTGTAAGAGTATATGCTTTAACTGCCAGCGAGTTTTTTGCCCGGCACTTCTCGGACGACAAGCCTGCCTTTTTGACTACGATTAGAGAAGGCGTTATTTCGTGTACACATGTAGTAATATTCACCAGGCGCAAATCTCAGCAACATACCGCGATACGATGCTGGGGCGTTGTTTAACAGCACATTAAGTGCAGTCTGTTTTGGTGAAGCCTCGCAAATCGCCATGCTGTTGTAGTATCCTGAGGAAGCCATACTTAAAACAAGATCTTGATTAGTCTCTGTCGCTGGATCACTTGACCAAATAATTTCAGCATTAGTGAACATCGTTAATGGTTTCTTTGATGGCATAGGGTAACTAAGGGAAGGATCTTGCATTTCCACGATGTTGTTTCGATCAGTAGCTAGAGATGTGAAGTGGATACATGTGTAAGATAATAATTTTACACTGCAACATGCACAGCGCCGCTCTGAGGTTTGTTTTGAAGGATGTTGTGTAATCCTTTTTTCTGACTCGCTATCGAACCTGTACCAATTACCGGTGAACTGTATTAAAACTTGAAACGCTAACCCCTATAGTTCAGCGATATACTTTGTTGAAGTCAAAAATTGTTTCAAAAGTATTTTTTTGACTCGTTGTTTCTCGTGCCATTTTTATAAAAATTGCAAATGATTGTATTTTACATAGTTTTAGACATTCCTAGATAATTACTCTCTACATGCATCTGTCTCAATTAAACGTTCAATAACTCAGAAAAACCAAATACCTTTAAGTTTGGCTTAAAGGTTGCAGCTAAGTTAGCGTTCAAGCTTTAGTACAGTTTACTGGTAGCTACTTACTTTAGATCATATAGCTATGATTTTCGTGTACGAAAAGAACCTATATCAATTTGAATTTGAATGTGCCAGGTCTAAAGTAGTACTGAAGCTGTAACTTGCAATCGTATTGGTAGATTTTTATGTAGAAGTATTCTTTATTTCTACATAATATTTAAAAAAATACGTCAATAGGCCAACTTAATGCTGCTCATAACCGCGATTAATGTCCGGTTCTTTCTGAATTCTTCTTCTGTAAAATCTCTAACAACTTTCTTGCATGACATACTTTCATTTTTTATACACGTGTCTTTGTAAATAATGTATCTATCATATGTAATACTCTAAATATGTAAATATTAAAACGGAAACATCTACCTTAATGTGCCAAAGAGATACCGTCTCAAATAAGAGTTAATTATACTACTACCGCTAATAATAATAACTTTTCATTCTAAGATTTAGTTACCTGCTGTTCCTTGACCATTGTTTCCCGAGGGATTCGTATTCGATCCTTTAAAAAAAGGTCCAAGAATGTAAGTTTACATATTCGTTTAAATTCGCTGAAAATGCTTCGTTTAACTGCACCAATATTATACAATATCCAGGATAATGCACTATGTTCTCGGCAATCATTTCCAGAGAAAATTTCAACCATAATAATAAAATAAAGAACTTACCTGTCCACTGAATGTGCAAAAGACTCGTGCTTTCAATCGTCATGCGCTTAGGAACAAAATCGTATTCCACTGCAGGGAAAGCTTGAACGATATTTCCGCGTTTTCCGCGTACGTTTAAATTGCGGATGACGTCATAGTCTGAAACTGAGGTAGGCCTGGGCATTAGTTTGAATAGATGCGATCGATCTTGAAATGTTCTTCCAAATTGAGCTGTGTTGATAGCAAGTTGTAGTGGTAGCTGAACCTGACCCACTTTCACTGTTGGGTTGTTCTGGACTGGAGAATAAACCCCTTGGTTTCTACAATATATTGAACAAGAAATAACAGACGATCAATAACAATATTATTGGTGCGAAGAAATAACGTAATCCACAATGTTTTTCAGCACGTATGTGCCGCCTTGACTTCCGTAAATATTCCATGCGCCTCATAAAAACGAATATCCCATGCGCCTCATAAAAATGTTTTGCACGCATGCTTATTTAGACAGAAACACTTACGCATCATTATTCTCATTGCTGAACGTTTTAAATGGTGGATAATCGCCAGTAGAGATGTTGTACCTAAACAGAAAATGTTATAACGATGTTTTCATGATGTTATACACTTAATGTATGCTCCCGAGGGAAATAGCGAGTTTTGTTTTCCCAAGAGTCTGAATGAGACTCGAGGGAAAACAAAACTCACTATTTCCCGAGGTGTAGCAAACATTAAGTGTTTTGTTATATAGGAACAAAGAAATACATGTTACACGACAATTTCATTTCAAAAAACTTTGTTATGACAATATGCAGGCAACAATTTTTCACTTGTTTCCCTGGCGGGAAACATTGCATTTATTTAAAGCCATGTGACTACGAATGAACCAATCACATTTAAAATACACAGCACCTATATAACAATAGTAGATATTCCAGGGTTATAAGGTGACTGCATTTATTTGATTCCTTATAGGGCGAAAATCGGTCCAATTTTTTATCCATGTATGTTAAATTTTGATTTACAGTATAGGCACGAAATCCATCGCCACGGCTAGGATGAACATCTTCGAAGATGTTCTCACTCATCGATGCCCTTCCCAGTTCTTTGAAGGACTATTTTCCTCGCGCTGTTTCCAAAATAATCAGCAAATTATATTCAAATCGGTTTCATCCAATGACTGGATTTTATTATGAAATTATCGTTCCAGTTTTAATAGAGTTAATTAACTAACCTTATTCTTAATATGCATCTTTGCGCATTTTTAGACGGGAAATGTGGAATAGTCCAGGTGTAACGAAGTGGAATAACGTGAATGCCATTACCCAAATGGTTTGATCGTGAATGCGGAGTTTTCTTACAATCCGGTTTCTCAAGCCCAACTAAACAACGCTTCAATGAATCCACACTATTGCCAGTCATCGTAAAGCTGTCGATATTCTCAGAACGGTAAGGAATGGCCCAGATAAGAGGAAGCTTTTCAGAACTCGCTCCATCTTCACATTCTTTCTGTGTCTGATACTTGGGATATTCTTCTAAATAGTTGCTGTACTCAACCCAATAGCCTTTATTATTTTCACATTCAATTTTGTTGTTATAAACTGAGAAATGCTGGAAACCATCCGTTTTCGATGGATAATACTGAAGGCATTCTCCTAGCAAGACAGAAGTTAGTTGTAGTCATTATATAACTGTTTTGATTGGCTCTTTTGTTTTGCTGAGCCAATTACTTCATTTGACATCATACATGTAACGTATAAAGGTAGTAAACCACATGGGTGAAGATTCGCGTGACAATCGAACACGCGTATGATAATGTTCATGGAGTAGTTTGCATGCGAGCCAGAAGCTAAATAGACTGTATCGATATTTACAAATTACATTCTTTTCACACTTTAGACATTGTTGAGTATATTATGACACAGATGAAAACTTAGATTTGCATGAAATCTGCAGCATGCAAAATTTTTGTAAATCTCAAATTTCCAACAGCTAAACTGAAATTCAATCTTTTTTCTTAAATCTGGGTGGAATATCTATTCCTGCAAATTCTAAATTTACAATAGCCGATTGCGCAAATTGCCACTTTCTCTACACTTTAGCAATGGTTGCCAATTAATTGATTGCGAGATTATCACTTTTTTTCAAATCAGTGCCATACCATTTTTGTCCGGTGTCAGGCTTTTCGCGTTATCAGAAAGGTCTGCTCTGATCTGGGCAAACCCGCTTGGAGTAGATAGGCAATGACAAGCAGTATTCTTTATAGTTTGTTAGGATTGGGTTGCAATATGTTGCAGTAGAGTGAAATTCAGTGGCGTAGCCAGCATCGATAATTGGGGGGCCCATATTCATATAATTTTTTATTCATGTAAACAGACTGTAAAGACAATTGATTTGAAAAGAAATTAATCCTGCGTATCACGAATATATGAATATGGCCCCCAATTATCGTTCTGCCTACGCTACTGGTGAAATTACATTAGCATCAGTAAACGTTTTCCAAGGTATGTTGATACATTGACGTATGGAAAAAATAAAAATCTTCACTTGCCTTTAGTTTTAGTATTAAAACTTTCTTCGTGATAATATTCACACATTGTCTCATTATCAGTCAAGACCACAATGTCAGTCCAGTCAGTTGGGTGCCAGTAAGGATAGTAATCTCTTTCCTCCGCACATTCGTAACCACTACGAGCCCCATTTGCATTTTGACGTGTGTAAATACTAGTATCACCTTGCAGTGCCTGATCAGCTGCGAAAAGTCCTGTAAAGATAAAGATTATTATCGTTGAAAAAATTCTACGAATGGCTGCATGCCTCCTGCCCACAGTAATGGTAACTTTTGAGTGTTTAATGTTAGCAAAATAGCCATGTTGGAAAGAAAGTAATTATATTGTCACAAAATGGTAATTCTTCAATAAGTGCCATCCAAATTTCAGGAAGTAAACACACAGGAAAGAACCCCCAAACCACTTTCTACCCCCCTACCTGCTTAACTTTTTCAGTGTGACCTTATAATATTGTATTATCGCAATTGTAACCAAAGCTGCTCAAATCTAGTTAGACTGTAACCTCACGTGGGGCTATCAATGTGCATCTAAATAAATCTGGTAATAAAAATTGCCAGATCTGGTCACCACACTGGGTATACCTTTCGTTCATGCGCCGTGAACCATTTAAAAAATTCCTGTCATTGTTGCTCGTATACCGGTATACCTCGTATAAAGTGCCTATACCATGGTTGTGAATTTTGAATACCGGGTGTCCCAAAAAAAATTACCTATTTTTAATTCAATATAACTTATAAACGAACTAAAGAATTACAATAAAATAATCCATGTGTAGTTGAGTAAAGTTTGATATATTGCATATGAAGTTTGAGCGAGTAGTTTCCGAGATATTTGCGTTTAAAGATACGGTAACGTTTTAAAATGTGCCAAAAATCAGCAAAAATGGCTTGTTAAACGCGACAATACGATATCTACAGGGGCAATTTTCTTGTCGACTCATGAGTAAACGCGGCGATTGGCCATGGCCTCCACGCTCCCCTGACCTGACGGTGTGTGATTTCTTCCTCTGGGGCTATTTAAAGCAGCAGCTTTGGGAAGTTCCTCATGACCAACAACCTCAAAACTTGGGAGAACTTCGTGAGGCGACTGTTAGGTCATGTCGCAATTTGGACGCCCACATGATTCAAAGGTCTTTTGATGGCATGCTGACACGGGCAAGAAAGTGCGTTGCTGCTGGTGGACATGAATTTGCAGATGAATAAGAACAAGTAAAAAAAGATTTTTAAAAAAAACACTAAAAAATAAGTTACAAGACACCATGTTACGAACCGGTATTGTTAAAACAAGTTTAATAGGCCATTTTTTCCTGATTTTTGACAAGTTTCAAAACGTTGCTGCGACTTTAAACGCGAATATCTCAGACACTACTCGTTCAAACTTTATATGTAATATATCAAACTTTAAGTTAGACATTACTCCACTTAATATGGATTATTTTATCGCAATTCTTCAGTTCGCTTACAAGTTATGTTGAATTAAAAATAGGTACTTTTTTTTGGGACACCCGGTATATTAAAAGTTCAAGGTATTTTAAGAAACTTTTGCGAGTCAAATTTTCTTTTGTTTAAGTTATACAAAATTCCCGATTTGACGTCATGTCCAGTAACTTTAAAAGTTAATAAATCCATCATAACAAAGATCTGCCCAAACCGCTAAGTATAGAAACTTATTTCTGTCTCTCTACTTCTACTGATTTTTGGCAAGCTCTAAAATGACAATAAGTCTTGTGTTCTCTGTTAAAAAGACGGCGATAAATTAGCTGAATGTCTTTTTGTACAGACCAAGATCGTAGGGTGAGGTTGGCACAAAAAGACCGAGGTCCGATATTTCCCGGTAAAGACCGAGCATGTGAGGTTAATAAAGAGCTTATCATAATAGTGGCATAACGCATGCATTGAAATTGAAAGAAACAAAAAATGCATGAGTTCGTATCAGTAGCCTGGCGCTGATTTGATGAAAACAAAAATAAATGATTTATGATTTAGTTAAAAAAAAACCCGTCTGAAGCCATTTTTTTTTAATTTAATTCTTTGTTTTTTTATCTCGTAATGGATTGCTGGTAACGCCGGTCCATTATGGAAAAGTGATGCACGCTTGAAAATTATTCTTAGCTAATCACTGTGCTCCATCTCATTGGAATTAATTAACACTTGCCATATAATAATTTATTTTATTGCTCTTGACTTGACGCATCTATAGTTCATTTGATCCTACATATGATATGATTGATGGCGGCATTCATGATAACTAACCTTTATTACGATGTCGTTTGAAACATTTATCATACCATTCCCATGATTCGTGGAGGCCTCTTGCAAAGCTTGTGGAGTCATAATTTAAGTACCAGTTCTTGTTAGCACGAGTGGTGAAGCTAGCTTTGCTAAAATACGGAGTATCAGTAGCTTTCCCTAGAAGTTTTCAAAGAATTATTGCGTCAAATATGTGTCTATATAAGGCGATCAAACCGTTTATAACTAAAAAAACCTATTCATTTTGACAGAAGTATGTTGTCAAGTAGACATGGTAATGCTTGCAACCTATGCTAAGATACTAATATTAAGCCCAAGAGAGCGAAAAAGGAATTATGTTATCAAGTTTTGGCATTATTTTGCTCTAGCCTGTCACCCACTTTTTTTCCAATCCGCGGAGAAGGTAGTAGTTTCCAATACATTTTGCAATATTTCAAAATTCAATATGACCGCAGAAGATAGTTAAGTGATTTAGTTTATCGTTACGTAAGTTATTTTCATAGACGTTTAGCAGCTTTATATTAGTTTTTTTAATTGATTGTTTTTACGGTTTGATAATAGAAATATATAAATATTAGCCCCTCGCTTTACAGGCTCACTTAACAACTTTTTGTCAACACCCAAAGTTCTATATAATATAATACTACGCACATTCACATTCAATACTGCAAGCTTGACCCATCATTACTGACAGAATTAAAAGTGCATTATTGCCGCAAACTACACACTAAGATAGGCCCTGTCTCAGTTTGTCTTTCTAATTATGGCAAGCACTGAATTGCAAATCCTTCTGCAAGATATTTGAAAAACTAAGCGATAATTAAAAAACATGCACAGTGCTAAAAAGTCTTACATATAATTCTAACTGTTGATTTATATCAAGCAAACTAAGAGACCTTCTCGGTAATTACGTCACAACATTTAAACATCACAACTTTTAAATTTAAAACCACCTTAAAAATGAAATGTAGCTATATGAAGTTTTACTCTCACGAGCCACGTGCAAAGATGCAAAACATCATTCGTCAACACATGCATGAAAAATATTTTTTTGCGTCTTTGCGCACAGCTTAATTGAGAAAGTAAAACTTAAAATCCATCTCATTTACAGTGGTTCTAAATTTAACACGATAATATTGTGACGTAATTACCGAAAAGGTGTTGCAACACACTTGATAATCGTGCTAATCATGCGTGCAAGGTATTTTGTATCAGGAATTCCAGATGCTAGAAAATTTCGCCGGTTAATAATTATACGAATGAAAAAATTTTAACTATTGTAGCTATATACTTACCATTTCTCATGGAGTGATGACCCAGTTTTTGATTGTTTTTGTCATCTTGACATCGGTATTGAAGAACAATGTTGCAATTTAAATCTCGATCGTGACAACCATGCTGATTGGCCATTCAATTGTGAGCATTGATCTCCAGCCAGACCTTTGGAAAAGTACGTTTGCCACTTGGAATAATGCTAAAATATAATTATTCGATTTGATTTCAAATGTGAAAATTACGTCTTTTTTATAACCAAGTTAATACAACCATAGCATAAATTGAATGGGAAAGCTATGGAACGTTGCAAATTCTTCTCAGCCATCTACTGAGCTACATTTCACCGGAAGTGACGCTTGCCATATAATTGAATGTATTTATACTTAATTATACCGAAAAATTTCTTGCGCAAAATTTGGATGCCTACGATACAACTTAGTTTTTCAAAAGCCCTTTCAGCGCAATAGAATTTGATTGAAGTCTTTCCCAACGCTGAATCCGACTGATCTAGAACTTCCATTTCAGGCATTGGAGTTTGTACACAGAGATGGAGTTCTTTATACAACAACCTAAGTTACATTACAGAATAATACCCGCCAATTTTGAAACCTTAGTTTACACCAAAGGTGTAATTCAGTTAACTTAGGTACAAATCTATAATTTTGTAGCCGCCCACGTTTTGTGGCTTGAAACTCGTTTAAAATTTAAAATTTTGCCCCAATTTGCTCAACATGCATGAAAAATAGTGTAACAAATTTACTCAACAATATATAATGCTGAGAAGTGTTCAGCGCAATCGGGATAGGCCAACTATAATGTGACGAAGGTATGATTTTATTTCTAACAATTTATATTTTAGCATATATCTACCATGTTAAATTGCGTGTCTTCGCTGGTCGATGCTGAAGCAGTTTTATCACCAACATTGTAACCACCTTTGGCGTTGTTCTGAAACATGAAGTAATTTTATTTAAAACTACATTAATATTGAACAATTAGTCACCGAAGGCGAGGTGATTACATGGCAATATTCACTGAGCGAAGGCGAAGTGAATATAGGGTTGTGATCACCGAGACTAAAGCTATAAAGCTAGTCACTGGCCAGTGACTATCACCTCAGAGACAGTGAATATTGACCAATCAGGTTGCGGGAAAATCAATAGTCACCTCGAAATTTATACTCATGATTAATTATAAGATATACGATAAAACACATATAAAATACAATAATATAAAAATTTTAAAATTCTTTTAATTTAAAACTCCCCTATTCCAGGTTTAGTTATAGTAATAATGCTATTTTACTACATGTTTAAAAAAGTATCCTACTCCAACTAAAATATAAAAAAAGTTTAATAGCCCCAGCAACCTTAAAGTAAATGTCTAAATTTGTCCACTGCTTCATGTTCTTTTCTAAAAATTGTCGAATACTCAAATGTACCGACCTTAAGATTTCAAACTGACAAAATTCTGGTTCTCAACCACACTATAACAACGCATTATTATAATTCGTGGTCTCTTTCTAATGAGTAAAAAACCTGTGGTATTCAGGTCCCATGAAGTAAGAACTGGGGTTGACATTATAGAGAATTATATGTTAGTTCATAGCTTGAGCAATAACATGTGCTTTTGAACACAGAGACACTGTGAGACCTATATTACTACATTATACTACAATGTTTAAGGAAAAAAACAGTGCCTGCTTCAGGGAATTTTAGGTGAATGGTCCTCGCGAAATTTTCCTAACAAAACAATTTAGTCACTTTATTTTCCCTACATTGAGAAAAATTGAAGGTTTTATTTTAATTGTTGGTTTTAGAAAACTCTAGCTATATTGGTTAAACATTAAAAGGTTTAATATTTATGTAGCTTTTAGATCAAATGGACATAATGGAAGCCATATGATAGTCTAGCAAGAAACTTTAAAAAATAATTTTGAGATGTTTTTTTATTTTGAAAATGTCAGTTTTTTGCTTGACCAGGCACAAACATGATAAAAAGGCGTCACTTAATTGCAAAAATAATGTTAAATATTGATTGGCACACTGCAAGGTAGTTTATTGTTGACGTTTATGTATCACACTACAAAATAAAGGTGGTTTTTAATAATTTTTTGGTGAGTGGTCTTCGCGGAATTTGACCATTTTCATTTTTATTCCATGGATTTTGCAATATTTTCTTTAAGTCTAGTTTTGTCATTCAACATTAAAGATTTTGCACTGTTTTGATGTTTTTCTAAAGCCTGCAGAAAACGGATGACATCACCTTCATGCAATGTTATGACTATACAGTATATTTTATAACGAATGATAAAAATATTGGCTATCAGTCAACGCTTTGCCATTGAGTCATTCCATGAGTTATAGCTAAAGTAGGCCTGAGGAGATTATTTTCTTGGTTGAAACTTAAAAATGGCGAGGAGTGTTGCATGCATGTATTTATAATATAATTAATGAGGTCGATTCATTTGGAGAATGTCACGTTTTGTGATACGAAACTATTCAGTGATCTTTCTACGTTGAAAAATTGCTGGCATGCAAGCTAAGGTAGTCGTGTAGAGTACTCGTAGTGAAAATACAAGCAAATAATACAATTTTAAATGTGCCTGTGATTAAAGGAATGAATGAAGTTGACTAATTGTGAAGCCAGATATTTCATGAAACCACGCGAGGATTAGTTTTTAAGGTTGAAAATCACCTGAGAATCGAACATTCGATTATTATTCTTTCGATTAGCAGTATTTCCATTCAGGCGGTTGTTGGAGCCTCTGGGGTTGTGCAGAAACATATCCGCATCAATCAAACTGCTCAGTATCAGCATTCCAACTAGTGAGAAATACAAAACTAAAAGTGAAAAGTGGGTAAATCAACCTTTTTCGGTAATCCAGCTTTGATAGGTATTTTTGGGGGACAACATAAGCAAAAATTTTAATTTTTATTTGATGGGACGTGTTGGTTGGCACATACTGTATGCAAGCTACACTGCCTGGACACACTTTGTTGGTACATATGCTGGTTGATCAGTGTTGTTTTCAAACCTGCGTGTCCACAAATCGTGGTGATGTAAAAATCTAAGCGCAAGATTAATCATGTAATATTTGGATTTTGGGATATTTATTGGTGTGGAAAGAAAATGTGTTTGTGAGAAAGACTGAATAAATACTGCTTTGTAGCATACAGTATACACAGTGTGTTTTTAGTAACTTGATTATAAGATAAACATTTATCAACCAGTGTTCAATAACATAAGGTTTGGGCAAAGCAGGACTGTTTACCTGCTAGAAAAAGGGTGATTGTTGATTTTCGGTGACTCATTACTTTCCTAAGAAAAAGACAGAACATCAAAGATATCTAATTAGGTAACTGTATAGGCTAATTACTGTGGATAATTCTATTACGTAATATAGAAAGAAAAAAAATTATCGCGACAATCATACTGTGCAACAGGTGCATGAATCTCACACCTCGAAATAAAGCAAGAGTCTTAAATTAAGTCTGTCTTGTTTTTTCGCGCAAAGCTTATTCTCCCACGAGGTCAATCTAATTTTTTGGCCAATCGAAATAAATCGTAGTCGCACGTGACATATTTGTGACCATCTTATTTGCGTTCAGCCTCTCATTGAACTTACCGCTTCTTCGTGCTAACTTCAGCGGCTCATTAATTCAACCCGCTTCTTTGTGACAAACATTGGCCGCGTTATGTAACAAAAAGTGTAATAATATTGGGTTTTATTATGCGCACTTAGGTAATTGTGAATGCACACTTTCAAAGCACTGATACTCGATCGAAACCATGATCAAAGCTATGATCGAAGCTATGATCGAAGCCATGATCGAAGCTATGATCGAAGCTATGATCGAAGCTATGATCGAAGCTATGATCGAAGCCATGATCGAAGCTATGATCGAAGCTATGATCGAAGCTATGATCGAAACTATATGATCGAAGGTATGATCGAAGCTAAACGACACTGCACGCATATTCTGTGTACTCGATTAAACGTCTGATCAAAACTAAACGTCTGCACGCACACATTTTTACTTGATCTAGTTCATATATTTCAAAATTTAATAATATATTGTTTCGCTAAAATAAGGATGGACAATCGACTATACACCGAATCCACATTCCCCTCTTAAAGATAGCTCTCCTTTTTAGTTAACCTGCGCTGATTTTGCAGTGCCTGCCAATCTTCCGCTTATATTTATAAACTTTCTCCTGCTATAAAAACGCAACCAAAATCACTCCTCTAGCTCGAGTAAACTCTTAGCAAATTAAATCAAATTGGTAATTAAATTGCAAAATAAGACGTACGCGGTACGCTCCATATATATCTACGCCCTAGTAATTGTGACTAAGATTTACTACGGTATTCTGGTGTTGTGCTTGTTGACGCGTGTGTATTTTAAGAAGACATATTCAATACAAAATTATAGTTTTTTACAGTGAACGAAGTATTTATAAGTGGTATATCTTCCTATTAAATTGGCTTTAAAAAGTTTCTGCATGCATGCATTAGCAATCGGTATAGCATATCACAAATCGGTACTTACCCTCTGGGTTAGCTGAATTTTACACTCTTCTGCTTAATTTGTTTAAAGGAAAATTTGACTGAATAATGCGTTGTGTGAACAATGAACTAATTTCATTTGGCCTTTTATAAGATCCTCGTCATACTATAAATAGGCGTTATACGTGATGCTTGTTACAGCAGGCGAGAAACCGCGTGCATGCATTCATCTAGAACATGAACACGAATACAGGTCTGTCTTTGTTTACAATTAAAACAGGAAGAACACATAATCAGTTTCTTCCTTTTTATATTGAAAGAACTTCTGCATGACAGGCATGAACGCCTAATTCATCATCCATCGAGCATGTTATTGTTTCATATGTTTCCCCGCATGGATATTATCAATTAACTTATAGAATAGAAATTTGCATTTTAAATATAGATCAGAATAATTATTAGTTATATGAATACAATACAAAGTTCTAGTAAAATCAGGCCAGACATAGCCAGCGAAGTAATTGCAGGGGTTTTTTATTGTATTGCATATCTTTGGAGAAGCGAAATAGGCTACGAATGAAATTCGTGGGGCATAAGGCGGTAATATTCTTACAAACATGAAGTCAGTACACTAATGCAATGTAAACGCAAAAAGCGCATGAAAGTCTATCTATTGAACTTTCTTGGATACTCAGACGCCAAGGTCAAAAGTCTAATATCATTGTGCATGAAGAGGTTTACACAAACAAAGAGTTAAGCAATTAATTAACTTTCCCAGAATGAATTTGTCATTCTGTTCAGGTTAAAAAACACGTGGAGTTTTAAACAAGTCTTATCGAAATCGCGTCTTAAATTAGTCGCGGCTTATTTTTCCTCGTATAAAAGGCCCTATTGAGCATATTATTACCCATGTTTCTCTGCCTGGATGTTATTAACTTATTTTAGGTAGATAAATATAGTTGTGTTATAAAGTTCCACTAACATCAGGAAAATATACAGCGGAATAATTATTATAATGCATGATGTTGTACACCTGTTCATATACTTACGCAGAAACAAGTTGCAATAATTAGGAGAGGACAAGGAGTTGTGTATATTCATATAATAGTTTTGCCTAACGTATTTCTTTTGTACCTATATATGTTTTCCGAAGAATTCTATCGGGCAGAACAGAGCTAGCATAAAAATTATGAAAGTTCAATATGCATAATTGTAAATAGTCTCGTGGTAAGTTAACATTTTAGCTGCAACGTCTTCCCAGAAACATGCATGGATAATAGTTGACAACAGGTTCACGGCTACAAGAATGAATAATTATGTTTAGTTTAACGAGTTGTGCATGATAATATTGTGAATGTAACAATATTCGGGAACAATAGTTGCTGCAAGTATGTGCTGAAACTTGTTTAATCAACTTAAAAAAAACTACTCGGCACGCATTTTTACCCGTGTTCATAGCTACAACTGGCTGATTCAGTGCAGCTTTCATTGCTACAACCCTGGAGCTAGAACCTCCATGTGCTTTTTGCGTTAACTTTGCCTTAGTGTACCGACTTCATGTTTGTAGTATACGCGATGGCCGATAAGGGCCACCTCTCATGCGTGGAAATGACACTATGCTGCATACAAGTGCGAATGTGCTGCATTTGAATATCAGTAGATTAATCTCTCAGTAGCTACTTGTCTATCCTAAGTAAATTTTGTACTAAAATATCAAAGCAAAACACGACGTGTTTTGTAGATCCCGGTATTGTAATAAATCGACAATCACCTCAAATCGCTCTGTCATTGTGATTGTAAATTTGATCAAGGCGTGGAAAAGGCAAAAATAAGAGGATAGGTTTTCTCTTCTTTCGTATCTAGGCATAGGAATAGCTAAAACATTCCCTAAAGCGTCAATAGGAAAAACAAATTATTTATCTGCGTTATAATACTTACAAATATAATGTTTTATTTAGTCCTTGAGCTATAGCGCAGGCGGTATATTCGTTCTGGTAGTATTCGTTCGGCACGACAGATTTCTTTTAATTTGTATTCTAATCACTCTCTTGCGCTTTCCATCAAAGTCGTTGGACTATGTATGAATAGGTAGCTATACAACCTCATCCAAAAATATCCCGCTGGCTATGTTCCGAATCTTATAGTAATAAGAACTTTTTATACCCCCAAAAGTAATAATACTGATGCACAAAAACATCAGTTAATAATAATTATTATTATGCTGAATTGATAAAAATTGTGATTATAAACTCCAGTTTAAGAGGATAAAATGCATTTGTAGCACTTTTGATAAAAATTAACTATTCAAGATGGGGGTTTTCATGCATGTAATTGTTTGTCAAACAGTTGTCTGATTCACAGCAAATTCTTCAGAAAAGTGTCCTACAATTTGCAAATGTTGTCTTACGGTCTACCTACTGCATGCAGTTTGCCATTTAAAAACGGCGCTTATAGATGTTGTGTTTGCATTATTTCATGTGTCATAGTGTTTGATAAACGGAATAAAATGTTATTCGATCAATTTTATCCATTTGGACGGAATTACGTTTCATCTTGTCGACATTTGGTCATTCGGAACGAAATTCGTCTTTGTGGTGGTCCATTTAATCGTCATGTTCCGATTTATAAAATAACTTCCAATTTATAAAATAGCTACCATGCAGTGGCGTCGAGTTTTGTTTTTTGGTTCTGGTACAAAACTGATTTTGGATAGGCAAATAATGACTACTGAGTGATAATATTCGCCGTTCCCTGCAGTTAGGAGTCGCCGTTCAGTTGTTATATCTTTTCTTTGAAACTCAGACGCCACGCAAGGTCAAAAGTCTAATATCATTGGGGTAAGGGTAAAACGCGGAAGCGGAATGGCGGAAGCGGAATAACGGAAGCGGGAAAAGGGGTAAAACGCGGAAGCGGAAAAAAGGGTAAAACGCGGAAAAAAGGGTAAAACGCGGAGAAAAGGGTAAAACGCGGAAAAAAGGGTAAAACGCGGAAAAAAGGGTAAAACGCGGAATACAGGGTAAAACGCGGAAGAAAGGATAAAACGCGGAAAAGAGGGTGAAACGCAGAAAAAAGGGTAAAACGCGGAAAAAGGGTAAAACGCGGAAAAAAGGGTAAGACGCGGAAAAGAGGGTGAAACGCGGAAAAAAGGGTAAAACGCGGAAAAAAGGGTAAGACGCGGAAAAACGGGTAAAACGCGGAAAAGAGGGTAAAACGCGGAAAAAAGGGTAAAACGCGGAAAAAAGGGTAAAACGCGGAAAAAAAGGGTAAAACGCGGAAAAAGGATAAAACGCGGAAAAGGGGGTAAAATGAGAAAAAAATAACGCGGGAAAGCGCTGCCGTGCGGCGTGCGTGAACCTTAAGCCTGGTTTCCAAAGACACCGACGTGGGCAAAGTATTATTGTCGGTGATTATTGTCTTTTATTGATGAGTGAAATCTTTCGTCTTAAGCTTTCTGAAATCATTTTCTCCTAGGATGATTACATACAATGAGTCGGCGACAGGTCGGTATATATATATATATATATATATATATATATATATATATATATATATATATATATATATATATATATATATATATATATATATTATATATATATATATATATATATATATATATATATATATGCGAGGTAGCTGAGTAATGTACTATTACTGCACTGATACATATTAGCCAGCTAATAAGGCGAAGGATACAGACATATATTAATATGTTTCAATTTTGTAGATGAGGCACACTATATTTATGGGCATTGATGTTTATCAATTTCATTTAACCTTGCTGTTATTCACCATATGACCCTTTTGAATTGCAGAACTGGGTAGCATTTGGTAGCATTATGCCATTATCTTTATAGCATTTCTCAGTTCTCCCCCGAAGGCTGTATTGATATTAGTAGATTACATTGTTTGTCTTAATAAACTGCACTGTATGTAGCTGCATATGGCTACTAATGTAATACCTATGTGGTAAACATTTGTAAATTGTGCTCACTGTATCAACCATTGAGTGACAGTGTATTCAAATCAGTTCTGTCTACTACCAATTATCACAATAACTCAATAATACCACAAATAGGAAGAGCACACACATGAGACAGGCATCCAGATTCCAGCAGGTTAATTCCATACGACGGGCTCAAAATATAGTGTGCCTACTCTACAAAATCGAAACATATTAATATATGTCTGTATGCTTCGCCTTACCTGGCCAATATGTATCAGTAATAGTACATTACTCAGCTACCTCGCATTTGTAGCATGTAAATTAGCTATATTTGTAATTCTCGACATATTTCGAACCTTGTTTAATCAAAGCCTGGTTTCCATATGACGCCGACCTGTCGCCGACTCATTATCTGTAATCATCCAAGGAGAAAATGATTTGCGTCTTCCGCAAGCGCTTTCCCGCGTTTTACTCTTTTTTTCGCGTTTTACTCTTTTTTCCGCGTTTTACCCTTTTTTCCGCGTTTTACCCTCTTTTCCGCGTTTTACCCTCTTTTCCGCGTTTTATACTTTCTTCCGCGTTTTACTCTTTTTTCTGCTTCTGCGTTTTACCCCTTTTTCCGCTTCCGTCATTCCGCTTCCGCTATTTCGCTTCCGCGTTTTACCCTTACCCAATATCATTGTGCATGAAGAGGTTTACACAAACAAAGAGTTAAGCAATTAACTTCGCCAGAATGAATTCGTGATTCCGTTCAGAAAACACGTTAAAAAACACGTCAAGTCAAAACAGTGTTAAAAAACACGTCAAGTTTTAAACACGTCTTATTTAAGTTGCGTCTTAAACAAGTCGTGACTTATTTTCACTCGTATAAATGGCCCTATTGAGCATATTATTACCCATGTTTCTCTGCCTGGATGTTAGTTATTAACTTATTTCGGGTAGATCAATATAGTTGTGTTATAAAGTTCAACTAACATCAGGAAAATATACAGGGCGATATAATGATGTTGTATACCTGTTCATACTAACGCAGAAACAAGTTATTCAAGTTACCACATTTTTACATCACATGCAGTTAATAATAATTATTATTATGCTGAATATGGAAGATGGATTAGGCTTGCTATTCGGTTATGATAAAAATTGTGATTATAAAGTTCAGTTTAAAAAGATAAATGTATTTGTATAGCACTTTTGATAAAAACTATTCAAGATGGGGGTTTTCATGCATGTAATTGTTTGTCAAACAGTTGTCTGTGATTCACAGCAAATTCTTCAGAAACAGAGTCCGACAATTTGCAAATGTTGTCTCCCTTATATATAGGTTGACTATATTCGAAGAACATTCAGTGCATTAGGCGTTGTTTTTGCATGATTATATTATAAAAAAGATAAAAATTAGTTACAGTTTTCTAGTTCAGTTTGTATTGAATTAGGAGAATTATCTCTTTGGGTATATTATTATTACATAATGTATGAAATATTATGCGCTATATGTATATAGCAAATACATATTTTGCTAGTATTTTGTGTATTATAACGAGGACAGCGTTGATATCTCATG